AAAAAAAAAAAAAAAAAAAGGGAAAAAAAAAAAGAAATAACGAGAGCCATAGGACTACGTATCTCTGCGCTATTTAGATTCGTCATCGCGATGCCGTAGGCTTAGCCAAGGCTGGATAAAGTGTCGGGACGAAAAAAAGCGAACCGTATTTCATCGGAGCTCGCGCGAAACACGAGTTTGCACAATTTCAAGGCGGACAGGACAGGATGTAGCTCGCGATAGCCCACTGACGACAGCGAAATTCGAGGCGACCGCGCGGAATGCCCGCAAAAAAGTCCGCGCCGGGTAACGAACTCCCCGTGCCTCTCCCCTCGCTGTCCCACGATAATGGCTTCGCGGCTCGTGGAAAGAAGACAAAGAGGAGAGAATATAAGAAATGAAGGAGAGTAAGGCGAGAGGAAAGTGGTGGAAACGAGAAGGGATGAAGGATGGTGAAGGGGTAGGTGGAGGAGGAGGAGGAGGAGGAGGAGGAGGAGGAGAGAAAAATGGGAAGAGAAAGAGGCAGGGGGGTCGGAGGGGCGCATTCCACGCGCATCTCGTCGTACGGAAATAGTGTTGCGAGATGGGGTTGGGACGCGTGTGCGCGGGCGCTAGCGCCGGCCTGGAAGAACCGGTGGCACGGCGGGGAAAGGGACGAAGGTGGTAGTGGTGGTGGAGGTGGAGGTGGAGGTGGAGGTGGAGATGGAGGAGGATGGGGTGGGGCTCACCTTTGTCTATAAGCGCACGTTTTTAACGCGGTCGACGGCTGGGGCGATCCCGGCAGAGCGCCGCGAGGATATATATTAGCGCGAGTGAGTTTATTTATAAAGCCAGTGGCGGGGCGGGGGGGATTGCCCAACGATAAAGAGCCCCTGGGGTCACGGTCGTCGTTGACGCGGTGACGAGGATGGCGACGGCGATGACGCTCGTGTCGAGAAATCGACGAGGCTACGAGGCCAAGCGGCTGTTGTTAATATGACACGAGGACCGGGCCCGGGCGATTAAAGGATTTTATCGGTGACCGGAGGTCCGATCGGGCGTCTGGGCCCGCCGAACGAAATCTCACGTGAATTATAAGGAGCACGCGTAAACGAGGGATATTTTTCAACGAGCGACTCTCTTCGGGAATGCTCCTGCCCTTCCGCGTACCCATCGCCTTAGTGTCCGGTAGGCGGCCCCGGTTTCTCGGAATCTCAACGATTTTCAAGTATTTGCACCCCCTAGTTTTTATGCGCCTACGATTTTTGCTAAGCTTTCGTTATAAGTATGGCAAGGAAGGATGCCAAGTCACCAAGTTAACCAAGTCGGCGTAGCATTTGGCGGGGCCGGTTCTTACATTTAATAGGGACGCGTTGCCATTAGCGTCAATTAATTTGACTGAGTTTATTGAGCTGGGACATTTATTATTTGTGGATAAATACCAACCGATCCGCCAGTTATTAATTATTGTATGTACTTGTATGTTAGGCCGTACGCGCGCACGACGCACGATGTTATTGGTCGACGTGTTTGGGGGTAGGTGAGCTCGAGACATTGACAAATTGACGAGTGTTTGGCCAAAGATTTGGTCGTTAAAATTTTCTTAGCCGTGAGTAAATTGTAGTCGAGTAATTGGACGAGCAAAGTCTCGTATCGGGAGCAAATAAATAGCTTATTAACGATCATAAAATGTCAAATGTTACATCCTTGCGTTACGCACGAATTTATGCGAATTAATTATTGCTACGATTCCAATACCAATGATTCGTTCGGTAAATGTACGTAACGATGCCAATTAATATCGATAAACGACGTATAAACTAGTTGAAAAAGTAAATCAACGAATGTGCGTATAAATCTTTCTTATCGGAGTCATAGAAATTGTCCTGTAAGTTATTTATAATCTCCGAGATTAGATTTCAATAGTTAAAGTACAGTAAGAATTAAAAATCGCTTGGCATTGCCAAGTGACTAAGTGCATTAGAAATATATCAAGACAATGTGCAGCACATCGATAGCAATGTTTTTTTTTAAGTACTTATCCGCTACGATCCAATTTCGAGGTCCTTAAGCTAATTACTATCAAGCATGTTATATAAACAAAGTATCATCTTTAATCTTTGAGAGAAAATTTGTTTGAGCCATAAAAATAGTTGAGACTACGAGTATGATTCAACAGGAGATAACGCGGCTCCATGCCGGAAATTCTCTCGTCTCCGTTGTTCCTTCAATCTTCGTAGACTGATTATTATGCCCCTCTCCCTCCCTCCCTCTCTCCCGCGCGCACACACACACACACACACACACACACTCTCTCTCTCTCTCTCTCTCTCTCTCTCTCTCTCTCTCTCTTTGATGTGCACGGGGCGTGCACGGGTCTAAGTGCGGGCATGCCAGTATGCGTACGTGCATTCGAGGCTTGAGAAACACGTCGAAAAAAGAAAATAAGCCATATTACATTGAATTTCTAAAACTTCGAGATTGTAAGTGCACTTTCCTCCTCCTACATCCCCGCCAAAGTTTAATTTTAACCTCGGGCTAC